TCGATCTGCAGTGCAGTAGACTGTGAGCCTGAAGTTGCTCAGTGAATTCAGTCTTTTTGTCCTTGTCCTCTCTCTCGGGGCCACATGCACATCAGAAGTTGGCTTGTAGTCTGATGTTAACATCCTGTTTAAAGCACTGCTGTGCTGCTGTAAAGCCTAACAGGAAATTGAATCACAGTTTATACTTAATCCATTTCTGAGAATCATTAATCAACTAAATGCTCAACATTAAAAATGAGAGTTTTTAAGCTGAAGTAGATTTCTGTTTTAGTCAATAAAACAAACCAAACTGTAACTATCCCTTTGTGATGTTTTGTTAATCTGAACGCACTTTCTGAAACATGGCTTTGAATATGTCGTGAGTTTTAGTCTAACGATCTTTATTTGTCATACTTATGCAGTATGTCACTTCACACGTTTGTATCATTTCTTCATCTCCCGTTTGGAGCTTTAAACCTGTCTGATTGTATCACTCTTGAGATCACCATCAGCCCAACCCGCTCCACTCCTCTCCATTTATCACCTGTCGAACCTTTTGTTCATTTTCTTTGCGTCTATTCTTTCCTCCTGCTGTCTGAACTTGTCACAAGTGTTAGTGTTCAAAGGTTAGATAAACCTTCTTTGGTTCAGACTTTGCTGTGTCCTTACATTTACGCAGTTCAATTTTCTTTTGCATGTTGAGCTTGAGGAGGAAACTGGTCTCTGGTTTTCTAACCTAGTGTGAGGAGTGACATGGGGAGTAATCCTGTCCAACCTCTCATCTCTTCTCTCACGCAGAACAGGGAGAGGCAGGTGGAGGTGGTGAGGAAGCCTTTATTACTTTGTTGAGCCTCCCTCCCTCCCAGCCTTAGGAGAGACATCTGGTATTAGATTGCTCTCTGGCAAAAGAAAGGGAAATAAACACAGAAATGCTTGTGTGGGCAGAAAGGATGAGCCATTAATAATTATGTTGTTGACATTGTTTTCTGTGTAAGAGCATTTATTTCACTCCTCCCCATCAGTCCTAATTTTTCATGGCAGCCATCTGTGTGTTGTCAGGCAGTTTGAGGACGGCCGAGAGCAAAATAAGGGGTCGGTGTGTCTCGATTGATAAGGCTGGTTGCTTGTATCTCTACTGTCTGTTTGCTGATGATATGATCCCCACCTCAAACCGCGTGTTTCGTTTCTAACCCTCCTATCTGTGTGACTGTGCTGCTCTCTCGCTCCACACTCTCTGATCCTGAGAGAATATAGACAGATTGACAGGGAAACAGGATTACAGGACATACATACTGTAGTACGTCTTTTTATGCTTTAATTTCATCTATCAGAATAGTTAGCATCTTCACCTTTACTTCATTTTTTTATTTGGAGCAGTCCTTGCCTTTTTGTTCTTAAAAACCTGCCCCTTAACTATTTAAAAAGTAAGAATACAATTCAAAGAAAAGGCTAGATAGGAAATAAATGTGGGTCAGACCTCTGTGGAGGAGTCTGTTCCTCCAGGTCTGCAATGCATCAATAACCACACTGACTTTTTACAAATCCAGTTTCACTTGGCAACATTTGAATCCGATGGCTACATACCATTAGCATTCGGAAATAATTTATATTGGAAGAAACCAAATGTGTGAAGCACTAAGTTTTGTATTGACCACTTAGTTTTTTCACTTTTGTGTTTTTTTTGTACTTCTTTTAATATTTTTCTGCCTTTTTCAGAACTAACGGACAGAATTGAAACGTATAAAATAAATGTATCTGTCTGTGCCCTGATAACTTCAAATGTTCATTTGCATTTACAGACCTGCAGTGTAGAAATGGTCCACGTCATTGTAGGGCTGCTCAATTAATCGTATTTTAATCGCAATTACGTTTATGGCTTGCAACGATCACGAAAACAACGTAATCAAAATAAAACGTTTATTTTTGTATTATTATTATTTCTTTCTTTTTTTTCAAAATAATTTTTTTTTTTATTGGTTTTTCAGTTGAATTATATTTACAGTTCAGGGTAATCAACTGTTAAAAACATACTGTTCACATTTTTTTCTCCAATAAATTGAGTAAATGGATAATCGTTTTTTAATAATCGTGATATCAATTATTGACCCAAATAATCGAGATTATGATTTTTGCCATAATCGAGCAGCCCTACAGTACGTCATTGTACTCAATCATCTTCTTATATTCAATTATTGGAATAATAACAATATTTGTTTTCCCCCTTATCTGAGAACACCATTATTAACTACCAGTTTATAAAGACACTTAGAGCAATGCACGGAGGCAACTCAAAATATCTAGTTATTGTACATTTATTTATATATTGACGTTTCCCCTCTAACTCTCTGTTTATGTTTCTCACAGTAAAGTATCTATCTGTGGTGGAGATGTTCTGCTGTGATGAATATGTACATGGGGACAGGCACAGAAAGACCAACATTTGTGCAGGCATTTCATTTTATGAATAAAAAATGAACATGAGGAATCAAGGTCACAGTGTGTCCCACTTCCTCTCGGGGCTTTGTTAGCCTCAGAGCTGATTTCAGCTGAGCGTTTAGTGAGAAGCAGATGGAGAATGCTGGATGTCAGCTTCTTCTATACATCCCACCATGGCTGCCTGCTACCCACATGGGGTCCCGCTGCACACCTCTCTCTGCCTTCTTGTTTCTGGATCGTGCTGTGTCAAAACAGTAAAGATTAAAACCGAACGGCTAATTAGCTCAGATCTACTGTATGTTTCAGTATGTCACACCAGACTGTTTCAATAAGAGAACAACAGGCTTCTGTCATCCCTCACCATCACAGCGTTTTTATCTTTCCCCCCTTTGTCCCCTCTCTCTGCTCCTCTAAAAACCATCTGGTGGTTTGTTCAGGATCTCTCTCTCTGCATGGGTATTCTCTATTATTTTGCAGTATGCTGGTGACCTTTAGAAATCCATCTTCACTGATTGGCTGTGTTTATGTTCCTCTCTGGTTTGTTTTATTTAAGGCATACCTTTACTGCAGAGCTTGGCAAACATGGACATGATTTTTATATCTATCGTGACCAGTTGGAGTTAATATTTAACATTTCAAAAATCCTTCAACCTTCAAGAATTTTACCGTGTAAGAAACTGTAACTGTACCAAAGATTTATGACGTTTTTTTCTATAAAATAATGTAGATATTGTTACTGTAGAAAGCAACCCTACACATCAAGTCAAAGGTCCATCAAGCATAATTGTGTGATTTGTTGTAAAATCTTTTACCTTCTGATATGAACATGTTGTTTTGTCTATATTTCGCCCTTTTGCATCTACATTACTGCAAATACTGTCTACTATCTTGCCATATTCGGGGGTTTAATTTGTAATCAAATCTAAAGAACTCTCTCGAACTTTTCTTTTAGTGTTGATATTTGTTTTCCAAATCTGAAATATTCATCATTTATACAGAAAGTATGATTATGTTTTTTGCCAAAATAACCCCAGGATATTGTACTCAAATTACAGCTGAGCAACACATTTAATTTATTGACATAATGAGTATATTACAGATTCTCTAATTTCCTTTTCCTGAATCCCACAAAGTCCAGAGGTCAAAATGAATTCAGTGGTAGCTCTGTATGAATCCTGTGCCGAGCTAACCCACTCTGCCCAACAGAAGCTGTCTGCAGGGGCCTCCATCCCATCCTGAGCTAATTAACAAGGTGTGTGTGTGTGTGTGTGTGTGTGTGTGTGTGTGTGTGTGTGTGTGTGTGTGT